TAGCTCCTTCCTCCTCTGGCCCTTTCTTGGATCTGAGTCAGCTTTGTGAAGAACTGCCTGGCTCTCTGTGTTCAGTGACATTTGGTCATTGCCCTAGCGAATTCTTCTCATCCTTCTGGTTTTACTGTTTTTCTCCAAAGCTGTGGCTCCTTGCGTCCCAGTCAGAAAGAAATATCTTCTACTTCCTGGGCGGGGTCGCCTTTCCTGCCACCGTGGAGCTCACACTGTCCCCTTGGCCTCCGTGCGCTCCCCTTCTCTCCGTGGGCCCGACCAAGACCCCTCCAAAGTCCAAGACTCACTCACCAGTCACTCAGGAAGTGGGCCGGATTGTGCTGGGAGGCGGGGTTCCCTAAGGTCTTGCATTCAGCGACCATGGAGGGGACAGAAGCACAGAGGTGATGGGATGTACCCTCTCTGTAGGGGTAGGGCCACTGGGACCCTCGGAGTCAGCTGATACTTTTGAGACCCTGGCCATACACCTGGCCCAAGCTCGTCCTTTCCCCGCTTCCACACTCCATTCTAGAGACCAGAACACACAGGCCCAGGAGGTGGTGTAACTGCCCTGAGGTCACCAGCTAAGCGTCTGGGGATGCTCGCTCACTCGGTGGCGGCTGCTTTCTAGCAAGAATTTGCTAGAACCTCTAGGAGAAGAGCGTCTGCCATCTGACTCGCTGCAGGGGAGGGCCTGGGGAGCTGGTGATGGGGCAGCAGCAGGGATCCGGCCAGAGGGCAGAGAGGGAGAGGAGGGCAGAGGAGGAGAAGCTGTTTAGATTTGTGAAACACCTGCGGGGGGCTCAACTGGGCGCCCACAATTGCCCTGCGGGATAAGAATTGATCTCCTTAGCTGGGCATGGTGGCATGTGTCTGTAGTTCCAGCTACTTGGAAGGCTGAGGCGGAAGGATTGCCTGGGTCCAGCAGGTCAAGGCTGCAGTGGCCGTGAGCGTGCCACTGCACTCCAGCCTGGGGAACAGAGTGAGACTCCAACTCAAAAAAAAAAAAGAAAGAATTGCTCTCCCCTGGCCGGGTGTAGTGACACTTTGGGAGGCTAGGCGGGGAGGACTGCTTGAGGCCAGGAGTTTGAGACCATCCTGGGCAATATGGCGAGACCTCATCTCTACAAAAAGTGGCCGGGTGTGGTGGTGCACACCTGTAGTCTCAGCTACTCGGGGGGCTGAGGCTGGAGGATCGTCTGAGCACAGGAGGTCGAGGCTGCAGGGAGCCATGATCGTGCCACTACATGCCAGCCTGGGCAACAGAGTGAGACTCCACCTCAAATAAAGAAAAAATTACCCTCTCGTTTTACAGAAGGGGAGACAGTCTTAGGGAGGTGACCAATGACCCAGGCCACACGGTAGGGTCGAGCCCATCAGTGTGGTTTCAACACTTCTCAGAACCCTTGGGTCCTGGAGTAGTGGGGACAGCTGGCAGGTGGAGTGGGGAGGAGACCTGGGTAGGAGGGGCTGTGTCTGGGGGGAGGGGCAGGGAGAGACTACCGAAGGGCTGGAGGGGAGGCAGAGAGGAGGGCCCACGGGAAGGGAGACGGCAGGGGAGAGGGCGTGGCAGCACATCAGGCCCAGGAGGTCTCCAGGGGCTGCTGGTCCACAGCCTGAGGCACACATGGAGGATTTGGGGCAGGAGGGAGAGAGGGTGTGAGGCCGATGGACCAGAAGAGCCACAACGCGGTGAGAAGGGCCCTTCCCAGGGGGGCTGGCAGAAGCAGCTGTGAGGGACAGGGTCCAGGAAGTCAAGATCAAGGCTGGGCCCCAGCCCCTCCCTATGGGGCTTTCAGAGAGGTCCCCGCTGCACCTGCAGCGCCTACCAGGCCACCTGTCCAGACAGACCCCGGGGACCCAGGAGCGATGAGTCTGCCCTCAGAAATCCCATCAAGGTGTGGGGCTCCACTCACTACCGCCCCTGGAACTATACTCAGACCCTGGATCTTTTTTTTTTTTTTTTTTTTGAGTCGAGGTGTCATCCAGGCTGGAGTGCAGTGGCACAATTATAGCCCACTGCAGCCTCCAACTCCTGGGCTCAGGGGAGCCTTCTGTCTCAACCTCCTGAGTAGCTGGGGACTATGGGGGTGCACACCATACCCAGCTACTTAAAAAATTTTTTTGTAGAGATGAGGTCTTACCATGTTGCCCAGCTGGTCTTGAATTTCTGAGCTCAAGCAATCTTCCCACCTCATCCTCCCAAAGTGCCGGGATTACAAGTGTGAACCACCACACCTGGCCTGGATTCTTTTTTATAAAGATGTAATCAACATACCAGAATAGTCACCCTTTTAACGTGCACAATCCGGTGGTTTTTTCCTATATTCCTGGAACTGTACTACCGTCTCCACCATCTTATTCCTGTATCCACTGGTCGTCACTCCTTGGTGCCCCACCCAGTCCCTGGCAACACACACCTGCCCTCACTGTCTGTGGAGTGGCCTGTTCTGGACATTTCCTGTAGATGGAATCCTAGATAGGGGGTCTTTGAAACTGTTTCTTTCACTTGCCATCATGTCTGCCAGGTTCATTCCTGCTGTAGTATGATTTCATACTTCATTCCTTTTTGTGGCTGACGAATATTCCACCATATGGATACGTCACATTTTATACATTCATTCTTCAGTTGATGGACTTTTAGGTTGTTTCTACTTGGTGAATAATATCGCTACGGACACTTGTGGACATGTTTTTGTGCAGGCAGATGTCTTCATTTTTCTTGGCCACGTACGGAGCAGTGACATTGCTGGGCTGTGTGGTCACTTGGTGTCTAACCTCTCCAGAGGCTGCCAGAGTGTTTTCCACAGCAGCTGTCCCTACCTTATGTGAGGTCTCCACAACCTTGCCAGCACTTGCTAGTGTCTGTCTTTATGGCTATAGCCATCCCGGTGGATGTCATGTCATATGTTACTGTGGTTGCAATTTTCTTTTCTTTTTTTTTTGGAGTTGGAGTCTCACTCTGTCGCCCAGACTGGAGTGCAGCGGCCGCTCCCGGCCACCGCAGCCTCGACCCGCTGGGCTCCGGCGATCCTTCCGCCTCAGCCTTCCAAGGAGCCGGAATTACAGGCAGGCACTACCACGCCCGGCTGATTTTTTGATTGATTGTAGAGATGAGGTCTCGCTGCCCAGGTGGGTCTCGAACCCACGGGCTCAGGCCATCCACTCACCTCAGCCTCCCAAAGGCGCGGGATTCCAGGCTGAGCCACCGAGCCCGGCTCTTCTTCTTTTTTAACCTCTTCCCTATGGAAAATTCCAGACATTTCCCAAGTAAGCAGGAGCATAGCATGAACCCCCAAGTGCCCACACCTCAGCCATTCTTGTCCTCCCACCCTCTTTCTACCCCAAGGCACTGACTGCCACTAGTCATCAGTATTTGCGTTTTATAGTTTCACAAGTAAAACTCAGTCCGTTGAAACACACACATCTCAGGTGTGCAGTTTAACAAGTGAGTGTACCTGTGTAGCCACACCCTGCTAATATAGAATATTTCTCAACCCAGAGAGCCCCCATGGCCCTTCACAGGTGATCCCACGTGGAGGTAGCTGCCATCTTGATGATCTTTCCATATACGAGCGTAGCCGGGTCCAGCCTCCCCCAGGTGGAAACCTGCAGCACACTTGGCCTATTTTCTCCGCAAATTGTCTGTGGGACTCGTTTATGTTGGTTCACGCCTCAGCCTTCTCCAGGCTGACACCTGCTCTTCTCCATTGGAGGAAGGGATCAGAATACACCTCCCTCTGCCAGTGACAAGGCCCAGGAATGGGGCGACCGACCATCCCTTTCCCAGGACCAAGGGGCTTCCCGGCACCTGGAACTTTCTGTGCTCAAACCCAGAAAGCGCTGGGCAAACCCGGATAAATTATTTGCCTTCCTTGGGGAATATGACCAGAGGCCGGGTGTGGTGGCTTACTGTCATCCCAGCATTTTGGGAGGCAGAGGCAGGAGGATTGCTTGAGTTTGAGACCAGCCTGGGCAACATACCGAGAGCCATTTCTACAAAAATTTGGCCAGGTTTGGTGGCACATGCCTGTAGTCCCAGCTACTAGGGAGGCTGAGGTGGGAGGATCGCCTGAGCCCAGCAGTTCAAGGCTACAGTGAGCTGTGATCATGCCACTGCACTCCAGCCTGGGCGACAGAGAAAGAAAGAAAAAAGAGAGGGAGGGAGGGAGAGAGGGAGGAAGAAAACTAGAGACTTCCACAGAGGGAAAGAATAACTTTTTTCTTTCCTTCCTTTCTGTTCCTGTTTCCCTCAAGTATTGGCGGGGCTGGGAATCGCTTCCGGAGTGCGGCTCCATAACCCCCCGCCCGTGCTGGCTGCAGAGGCGGCCATCTCTCAGGGCCCAGCGAGGGGGGCTGGTTTAAGAATGCAAAGCAGAGCCCAGACCGAGGGAGGGGGAGAGGCATGCATGGCTTGAATATCCAAACGCAGGCGCCGGGTCCCGGAGGCACCTTCCTGAGCTGTTGGGTCAAGATATTCCCAGGCTACAAAGTCTCTGACACCTAGGGAAAATTTCCAGGATGTCAGCCAAGAAAGAGGGCTTGTAGGGAGAGGCCAGGCCCGAGTCTGAAAAATGTCCAGGGGCCTCAGAGCCAACAGGGGAGCTTTCCAAAATGAAGGTTCCTGGGCCCCACCCGGGGGTTTTGATTTTTGTGTTTGTACCAAGCACCTTGGGGGATGCTGGTCCAGGGGGCTGTGAATCCGCTGTGACAAATACTGATGATGTTCCAACCTCTTCATTGGAAACTGAAGCACAGAGAGGGTCAGTGGCTGCTGTGAAGTCACACAGCCAGTCTGCGGCAGGACCGCAAATCAGGATCTAAAACTCCAGGGCCCTACAGGATCCTGAAGCAAGCCCCAGGCCGCATGGCAAAGAGCTCTTGGGGTGCTCCTCGCGTTCCTGTAACCCCTGGCAACAGGAGGCGGGTGCCACCACCCAACACTGATCGGGTCGGCTGTTGTTCCTGACCAGTGTGTCATCTTGTTATAATGGCTACAACATATTGTATGCCTGCTGGTTGCAGTGACTTGTTCACTGCACTAAGACGTGTTATTTCAAGTCTTCCCCACAGTCCTTCAGTGTGTAGAGGGCAGAACGTCCAGAGCAGACAGGCGATTTGCCTGAGTGAGCCAAAGCTGGGATTTAAAACAGGGTCCGGCATCACCAAACTCCATCCTCACCAGTGCACCCTCAGGCCGCACCCTCACGCTAGGCTGGAGAGAAGCCAGGCCTGAGAGGCGCCCGACCCGGCAGGCAAGCCCAGAGTGGGCTGGTCCAGGCTGTTTCTCCTTCTCCGGCGCCTAGACATAAAGAACACTTCAATTTAGGATTCCCGTGAGCCCAGCCACTGGAAATAATTTCTTTTTCCACTTCAGAGCGTTTTAATCCGGAGAAAACTGCCGTTGTCAACATCTTGCTTTTCACACAGGCAAGTGGCTTCGGTCATTCATAGCCTCATCCATCAAGTGTCTCTATACATACATTTTACTTACAGCAAGGTTCTCTACCTTGGCTCCACATTGGAATCATCCATGAGGCTTCTGGAAGGTTTTCCTGCTCAGTCCAAACCTAGGTCAATTAAATTAGAATTCCTGAGGCCCTGGCCTGGGTATTAGGATGTTTCAAGGCGCCCGCACCAGGGACTTCTCACAGGCAGCCAAGGTTGAGGATCACGCGCTAGACCAGTGCGTGTCCAACTTTAATATGCTTGCGAGTCACGGGGAGTAGGATTTCGTGGGATGGGGTGGGCTGAGATGCTGGGTTTCGCACAAGCTCTGGGCGAGGCTGATGCTTTGTGTCCAGGACCACACTCTGAGTGGCAGAGGGGCTGGTGGAACTTCTCTGTGAGGAGCCGGGGCAGGGAGAACAGAACATAGAACACAGGCCAGGACCCACTTCCCTGGGATCCGCGAGGGAAGCAGACCACGTGTGAAGAGCTACGACCACACAGCATGGGGTTGTACTGAAGATTCGAGAATGCTCTCTGTCCCACCAGCCTTCGAGTCCCCTGGAAGCGATGTCTGCTTTCAGCCTGGCACGGTGCCTGGCCCATAGGGGGTCCTCAATACCTGTCTGCCGTCTGAATGAATGAGGAGTGGCAGCGAAAGAGGTTACAACCTAGCAGATTGTGGCTAAGAGACCTGGCTGGGGTCAGGCTGTACCACCAGCTGTGTTTGTGAGCTTAGGCAAGTCATTTCACAGCTGCTGCCCACGTCCCTGGCCATCAAACAGGGTCACGCCATCTGTTCACAGTTTCACTGTGTGGCTTAAGTGATAGCGAGAGAGCAGTGCACGGTGCCCAGAGGTGCTCGTGTGGGTTAAGTAAGAGGCTGGCGGCTCTAGCAAAGAGGTCTCACGATGGAAGAGCCCTAGACAGGATTCCTCTCTCGTGCCGTCGTCCCAAAGCCAGGGAAGTAGGTGAACCGGAAACTCCCATTCTGAGACCCAGAGTGTTCCACCTGATGGTCCATCCTCCCCTGGGTGTTGGTGTAATCTGCCCATTGTTAGCCAGGCTGCAGGCCCACCTGTGTTGTCCAGGTGTGTTAGTCCTGTTGTGTTATTATAAACGAATACCTAGCGCCAGGTGTGGTGGCCCACGCCTTGCAATCCCAGCACTCTGGGAGGCCAAGGGGAGAGGATTGCCTGAGTCCACGGGTTCGTGACCAGCCTGGGCAACTTGGTGAGACTTCGTCTCTACAATAAATCAAAAAATTAGCCGGGTGTGGCAATGTACGCCTGTAGTTCCGGCTACTTAGAAGGCTGAGGTGGAAGGATTACCTGAGCCCAGCAGGTAGAGGCTGCAGTGGCCGTGAGCGTGCTACTGCACTCCAACCTGGGCGACAGAGTGAGACTCTGACTCAAGGAAAAAAAAAAAAAAAAAAAGGAATGACTGAGGCTGGGTGATTTGTAAAGAAAAGAGGTTTGTTTGACTTCCGGTTCGTGCGGGAAGCATAGCACCGGCATCGGCATCCGGTGAGGTCTCAGGCTGCTTCCACTCACAGCGGAAGGGAAGGGGAGCAGGAGCAGGTGGTGTGTGCAGAGGTCACATGGGAGAGGCGAAGCCAGACCAAGGAAGGGCCAGGCTCTCTTTAGCAACCAGCTCTTGGGGTCACAGAACTAGAACCCACTCATTACCTGGGGAGGACAGCAGGCCATTCGCGACCCAGACCCCTCCCACTAGGCCCTACCCCCAAAACCAGGGATCACGTTTCTTTTTTTTGAGTTGGAGTCTCACTCTGTTGCCCAGACTGGAGTGCAGTGGCTGCTCCTGGCCACTGCAGCCTCGACCCGCTGGGCTCCGGCGATCCTTCCGCCTCAGCCTTCCGAGTAGCCGGAATTACAGGCACGTGCTACCATGTCTGGCTGACTTTTAATTTATTGTAGAGATGAAGTCTTGCCCGTGGACTCGGGCAATCCTCTCCCCTTGGCCTCCCAGAGTGCTGGGATTGCAAGCGTGGGCCACCACACCTGGCGCTAGGTATTCGTTTATAATAACACAACAGGACTAACACACCTGGACAACACAGGTGGGCCTGCAACCTGGCTAACAATGGGCAGATTACACCAACACCCAGGGGAGGATGGACCATCAGTTGCCCAGGCAGGTCTCGAGCCCGTGGGCTCAGGCAATCCACTCACCTCAGCCTCCCAAAGCAAGGGAGGACAGGCTGAGCCACCGAACCCGGCTGGGATCACACTTCAACACGAGTCTTGGAGGGACGGCGAGCCAAAGCATATCACCGGGCTTGTGGGGAGGAGGGAAAAGGCGTGCTCGGGTTCACATGGGCCCAGAGTGGTTGCACCACTTCCGTTTCCGACCTGTAGGTGAGGACTTGGTCCTTCGGCCCCATCTAGCTGCAAGGGAGGCGGACGGGGGTCTCTGATCGAGCTGACCTGCCGGGGACCCAGCCGCAACTGGAAACCCGTGGAAAAGGAGGGTTCAGTGAACCTCCACATCCACACAGAGCTCAGTGGATGGACGCCCAGATGGCGTTCCCGCAGAGCCACCCGTCCCCGGCATTTCCAGCACTGGGGCGAGCCCACCCCCCACCCGCGTTCTGACACCTCTTGTCCCCGCAGGGTGAGTGCTCCCGGAAGTGCTACTCCATCTTTGTCGTGGAGACCGTCTGCGTGGCCTGGTTCTCCCTGGAGTTCTGCCTGCGCTTCGTGCAGGCCCCGGACAAGTGCCGGTTCTTCCGAGGGCCCCTGAACATCATCGACATCCTGGCCATCTCCCCCTACTACGTGTCGCTGGCGGTGTCCAAGGAGCCTCCTGGGGCCGGCGCGTGGCCGAGCGGGGGCTCCTACCTGGAGAAGGTGGGGCTGGTGCTGCGCGTGCTGCGGGCGCTGCGCATCCTGTATGTGATGCGCCTGGCGCGCTACTCGCTGGGGCTGCAGACGCTGGGGCTGACCGTGCGCCGCTGCCCGTGCGAGTTCGGCCTGCTGCTCCTCTTCCTGGCCGTGGCCGTCACCCTCTTCTCCCCCCTGGTGTACGTGGCTGAGAACGAGTCCGGGCGGCTCCTGGAGTTCACCAGCATCCCCGCCTCCTACTGGTGGGCCATCATCTCCATGACGACGGTGGGCTACGGAGACATGGTCCCCCGCAGCGTGCTGGGCCAGATGGTGGCCCTGAGCAGCATCCTCAGCGGGATCCTCATCATGGCCTTCCCGGCCACGTCCATCTTCCACACCTTCTCCCACTCTTACCTGGAGCTCAAGAAAGAGCAGGAGCGACTCCAGGCCCGCCTCCTCCACCTCCAGAACCCCGGCATGGCCAGCGACCCTGAGCTCCTGGACCCTGACGAGGCCCGTGATCGTGAACTCCTGGACTCCAGGATGGCCAGTGACCGTGAACTCCTGCACCCCGACGAGGCCAGTGACCGTGAACTCCAGGACCCCAGCGAGGCCAGTGACCGTGAACTTCTGGACCCCGGCGAGGCCAGTGACCATGAAGTCCTGGACCCCGGCGAGGCCAGTGACTGTGAACTCCTGGACCCCGACGAGGCCAGTGATTGTGAACTCCTGGGCCCCAAGGAGGCCAGTGACCGTGAACTCCTGGACCCCAGCATGACCAGTGACCATAAACTCATAAATGACGTCAACAATCTGATTCTGGAGGTCCCGGCCATGCCCATCACGCACATTTAACTCAAAACCCCTCCTGAACACAGGGGGATGCCAACCCATTGCCCTGACTGACACACGCTCAAGAATCCCCGGCAGAGACCATCTGGTGGTGTTTCCAGAGCCCTGGGAGGACTCTCAGAGGTGGGAGGGTGCCTAGCCACAGGCAATTTTGGTCTCTGAGATCCTTGGCTCTCATGGCCATTGCGGGGGCCCGCCCCGCGAGGGTCGTGAGATTTCCTGAAGGAGAGACGGACAGGCGAAGGACGAAGATAATATACTCGGACACCTGCTTCCTGAACAGATGACAATTTAATGTTAGTTAACACAGAGCTTTTATACCATTTGTAAAGGGGCAAGACAAAGAAAATTCCTTCACGTACATATCTTCTAAAAGTTACCATCTAGTGGTCTTAGCAGCAAACAAACCAAGATCCCTATAAACATTCAGACAACAAGTCTTATTCATAAAGCCAGCAATGATACTTTCAGTCCAATGTCCCGAATTACAGTCCTTGAAATGTCTCAAGAAAGTTTCTAAGCATTCATTTCTTCATGTGTCAGGAGTTTTCCCATC